GGGGGGGGGGGTAATTTAATTATGTTGAATTCCTAACATAATTGAAAGTAAAAACGAACCATCAGTTTTGTTTGTTGGTTTTTACGTTGACATCGATTTCATTTATTTTTGATGACTTTATCTATTGATAAAATCTATTGATAAAATTTCAGTGGTTTCAGTGGCCTTGTGCCATACGTACCCATCGTCAATAAGTTTCACGGCTTCAGATGAAAACGGACTAAGAGAACTTGTTGCTTTACAACTGTCTGCCCTTAGCGCCAGGCCGGACATGTTGGCTGCAGCCAGCCTCACGCCCAGACGGATGTATATCTGGTCCTCAGGTCCACGGACAGCGGGTAGTCGTCCGGCTGGTACGGTACTTTAAACTGGACGCCATGGTTCTGCTGTAGACTAAACGTCAGGTTACCTGTCCAGAAAAAAAAACGCCACAACTTGCACTCAGAAAAGAATTATCAACCCAGCATCATTTGTTCAAGTTTATGTTGACAATATCTTTTCATTGTCAATTGACTTGTTGTCAAAAGACGTGTTCGTCGTAGCATGCAAAGAAGAGATTTAACGCGTTGAGATAGTGTAATAGCGTTTATAGCAGCCTATGGACTGGGGATGCATTTTTTTCTGCGTTGATATCAATTTTATCAATAGATAAATGATTACATTTTGTCAATAACAAAACAGAACAACTGGTCAATCATAAAAAAGGCCTACCATATCCATGCTCCAGAACATTCATGGTTCGGAAATGTGGCTTGTAAGAGATGGACAGGAGTTCCTTGCGGTCATATTTGCACACCGTGAGTACCGTGTTGAGATAATTTTCAAAGGGCACGGACACCTGTTGCTGGACAAGGGAGCAGCTCTTGATGAAAATCTCATTTTGGAACACGACAAAATCTTTGGTCAACCGAGCTGAAGTGCCGCACGTGTCAAGGCTAAAGGTGAACAAGATGTGACTTGAATTGTCCTTCCCGGTACATTGTGGGTCTCGGAGATGGGCGACAAGGTTTATGTCACCTGCCAATGGGCCAACGACATCGCGCGCAACGGCAACCATTATGGTATTTGCACTGCAGTGGGATTCGGCGTAACTGATTTGCACATAAGGAGCTCTAGTTTGCTGACGGATCCCCAAATTATTCGTTTTGTCGGAAATATCAACACTTGTCTCCCTCTTTGTAGTTGTAAGTGTTTTTGATTCTGAAAAATACGCAAAAACACAGGAAACAAGTGTGTGCAAATATCGGAACAAGTCATTGGCAATATTGTGTCAGAAATTCTGTTTAAAAGCCCCAGCGTTCACAAAGGAAAAAAGAACCCCCATGTTCACTATACGTGAAAATTGGTCCATCAGGTCTGGTAGGAAAAACGTTTTGAAATGAACATGCTACTCCATATTTGCGAGTGTAAATATTTTAAGTGTTATAATCCCCAAATGTCCCAAATGAATAACTTTTGGGTCCCCTAACTTCATATTCCTTGCCGTTATGTCATGATTTAAACACTTAAATGGGGACTTTTTTTCTATCAATATAGGGAGTTGGCCAGCCAATAGGGGCAGTCTTCTCTTGTGACCTTGACCGTGACATTGACAATTGACTTGTTGTCAAAAGACTTGTTCGTTGTAGCATGCAAAGAGAAGATTTAACGCGTTGAGATAGTGTAATAGCGTTTATTGCAGCCTATGGACCGTGGATGCCTTTTTTCTACGTAAATATTCATTTTCTCAACAGATAAATGATATAAAACTGGCGGAACTCAAAAATAAAATTTTTTCTGCCCCCC